CCCCAAAACCCCAAAACCCCAAAACCCCGCCTTTCTAAGTTAGGCAAACTCAGAGTATAATATAAAATTTCTAACATTAAACAACAGTTAAACAAATTAATCATTCTTGTTGTTCCTTCTTTAATGATTTCTACTCTTCTAGAGAGGGTACTTCTACAATCTAGTCCTCATCCTTAGTCTATCCTTTATGAATAAGAAACTTGCTACCACTATATTTCTGAATAGCTTTCTGGATATACTCTTTTGGGTCAGATTCAAAATCATTAATTGTGAATGAGGTACCATGAACTCTTGAAACGTCTTTTAAAAGGATGTTGAGATCTGACATGGTAATCTCGGGAACTTTGGGATAATAGAAACCCTTGCCTTTCATCTCATAACTAATTGGCAGTAACCACATCCACATGTGAGGTCCAAGAACTTGCTTGATATTTGGAAGCCAAATCATGTCGTACTCATTAGGTCTGCACATAGCTTAGGATTTGGAAATTCCAAAGCATGGCTACTTAAGCTAGACATAAGACATTCTCTCGATTCCAGTGATGTTATTGTAAATTTAGATAAACACTGATAAAGACAGGAATATCAAAGCAAATGCAATTGGAACTGCAAGAATGTTGGTTATATAGTAGAAGATGGTTCCGAGCATAGATAAATCATGAGTGTCCTCATCAGGCCTATAGAAACCAAATCTAATGAGTTAGGTAGTGTATATTACTCCAATCATCTAGAAAATTTAAATTAAAATGCCAAAGACCTTACCATTTGATAGAAACAGAAAAGGAAGAACTCTTTGAAGTTATGGTAGCCTACACAGTTACCTAACCATGGGCAATGATGATCTTGCTTTAGTACACATATTCCACATATTGAACAATGATGAGATCTATCAGGCTTCCAATTCCTACAGGCCATGCAATATTTAGACTTGTCTGTATCTCCCATCTAATAATTGGTTAAAAAGCAGCTAGAATACTTAAGGGATAGCTTTTGGCTTGACAAAAGATGCTTTTATATAACTTATGAGATTCAAAGTCATTACAATATTGAACAAGACGTTAATGATAAACTTGTCAGTTTTGTTCTCCATCCATTCGTTCATTTCCTTAAAATTGTAAGATTATCATCATACATACATAATTCATATTGTAGAATGGCAAAACATTAAGGAATATGACTATGGCTCTCATTGACCAGACAAATACATCGAGCTTTTGGTTCTTCCCAATAACTCGTTTGAGTATTTTATGACAAGTCATGCACATATTTAAAAATTTTTGGTTTAAATTTACAAATTCATATTAATTAACCTACTATTTACTAATTCAATTAGAGTCAGATTAGTTAGCTTTGGGGTTTTGGGGTTTTGGGG